TGCTGCTCCGCCCCGCCACAGCTGGACCTAAACGCTGTTTTGCTAGATTTCGGCTGTGCTTAGTTTTTCGCTTTGGGAGGGAAGTACAGGAAAACAGGGAAGGCAAAACGAACCACAAAACGAAACCAAAACGAAACACAACGTTTAGGTCCAACCCTGCTTTCCCTCGCTGCGAAGAGGCCGCGACGGGAGGTGTTCGGCCATTTGTCGGCGCAGGAGGGCACGCGCCCAGCCCCGGGTCCGTAAAGCAACACACGGCCCTGCGATGGAACAACGGTCCCGGGGATGGGGTTCGGATCTCCTGGGGCCGACGTTGCGAAATCACCACGACCCCAGATCGCCATCTCACCGCCCACCAAACCACCCCAACCCAACCCGAAGGCCCCAGTTTGCCCTCCATTTCCAGTTGGGGGGGGTCGGGGAACGTTGAGAAAACACACATGAAGCTCGTACCCCCCCCAACCCGAAATTCGAGTCTTCGGGTTGGGTTGGGGTGGTTTGGTAGGTAGTCACCATCTGGCCCCGTCAGCTACACTTGGGACAGACGGAGCAAGGCGGAATAGGATAACGAAGGGGTAAGCAAAGTGCTGCGTGCCGTCGGTTTCGGCCCCGCCGCCGGGCGCGCTCCTCGACAGAGCTGCGCGTCCGCCGCCAAGGGGCGCCGGGAAAGCCAGTCGCGAGAGCTGATTGGCAAATCCCCCCCTTCCTCCCCCCCACACCCTGCCCTCCCCCCCTTCCCCCACACACCAACACGCACACACACAGAACCACAAACACACACACACACGCACGCACGCATGCACGCACGCACGCGCACACGCACACGCACACGCACACGCACACGCACACGCACACGCACACGCACACGCACACGCACACGCACACACACACACACACACACACACCTCCCCCCCCCCAATTTCCCCCTCCCCCATTCTTCCGGGGAGCGTCAAAAGGGGACAGGACCTCCCAGGCATTTTGTTTTGCGCTGGGCATGTCAGTCCCGTTGCAGGCCTGCGTCAGAAATTGTTGAAGGGCAATGGGAACAGCAGCAGCAGCAGCAGGAGTACTTGCACCAAGCTGTCTCATAAACGCGCCCCACCCCGCGCCAATCCGTGTACATTTCGTTATGTATGTTCCCCCTCTCATTGAGTTTCTTTCTCTATCTCTATTTCCCCTTTGGTTTTCTCTGGCTCTCTCTCTCTCTCTCTCTCTCTCTCTCTCTTCTCTTTTCTTATATATGTATTTATAGTTTTTGTGTTTTTTTGTTCTCTCTCCCTATTTCTTTTCCTCGACGCATCTGTTGTAATGTACACCTGCACGCCTGCACATGGGTATGGATGTGTTAGCTCGGGTCGGTCCAAGACAGTGCGTTCTAGCATGGTACGTGATGCAATCTATGTGGCGCAATCTAGGTGGTGCGATCTCGGTGATGCAACGTACGTGGTGCCACCTACGTGGCGCATATATGCTTGCAAGCTGTTTGTATATCTCCCTCAATCTTGGTTGTCCTGGCAGCCTGCTCCATAACAGTTCTTGGTCAAGCTCGGCAGGAGGCTCCCTTTTTTTGTTCAAGCTCTCTCGGCCTTGTGGCGATGGTGAAGGGGCTTCACGATCACGAGTGGATTCCGCTTGCTCTCGACCTTGCTTGTGCTGATCTTCTCGGCCGCCTTTTCTGTTGGCTGATGGCGCAAAAGACGATTTCACCTGGTCGGAGGAAGAGGACACTGTCGAGATGGAGAACATGCGTGCCGGTTTCGATCTGTTCAGCGAGCCTGGTTACACCGGGACCGAAACCGATCTAGGTTCAGAGTTGGATTTGCAGCTGGCTGCGGCGGTGGATCAAGGGCTGCCAAATTCTTTTGTCGAGATGGTATGGACAAAGTGGAACAGGGCATACCTGCAGAGTGGTGACGAGTCTGCCGTCGTGCTGATGTTGGTGCATGTTATGCGTGGGAAGACTTGCGCGTGGACCTTGGCTGACCCTATTTAGCGGGTTCAGCAGGTTCAGGACGTCCGTAGCGGTCGGATATTTGCTAAGCCTAAGACGAAGTGGCACCTCGCGCCGTTCGAGGGTCTGGCCATGAGAAAGAAGGAGCGGGCGCAGGACGACACCGTAAAGCTGATCAGGCGGGTGGCGGGGGACTCCTGCTTCTCTATCCCTGCCTGGCTTGCTGTTCCGGTACAAGTTCGTGGACGCGATGGGGTTCTGCTCGTTGCTCAAGTATAAAGCATGGAGGTTCGTCGGGGTTGGCTGGGAACGTGGTTGCGGTGTCGGTCGTGTCTTTCTTGGCGATGCTGGCCTTCTTTTGCGGAGGCTGGAGGATGAAGCGGGAGAGGTTCTCTGCGGACGGCTTCGTGACGGAGTCGGACAGTGAAGGTTCAGTTGATCTCGGCACGGCGGCTTCTGACAAGGACGAGGGCGACGACCTTATGAGACGCCCGGTCGCGACGTTCTTTCGGGAAGAAAACGCGGCCTTGCAAAGTCAGATCAGCCAGCTGGCGGCGCAGAAGAAGACAGACCCCGGGCGCGAGTGGCGGCGGTGATGAGGGACGTTCCAATTTCGAGGCTGCCCGGGAAGACGCGTCGGTCAAGCGCAGCACTGACAGTCTCATGGGGCGGCTGCTAGCGCGCGGGGGGCGACTATTCGATGATGAGAGCGGAGGAGACGGTGATCAGCGACGTGGCGTTGGGGGCGGCGAGCGGCCGCCTGCAATTTATCTGGGGGGGCGCGCCGCGAGGGACCTGGCGGTCCAGGGTGAGGGCAGGCAGCCGGTCGATAATGATATCTTAGGAGTTTGAACAGGTAGCCGTGGACCTAAGAAAGGCGATGCCGAAACAGCTCAAGCCGCACGCAAGTGCCGACTGGAGTACAGGGCCGTCCCGAGCCATGACCGCTTCGACGGTGCTGACCCGCGCGTGCAGTTTCGGGGCCTCGGCCAAGTTTCAGGTGCAGCAGTGCGCGAAACCTATGTAGCTGGAGTCTTGCCGCGCTGCGAGTGAGACGGTCCTCGCGGCTGCCGTGGTGAATCGTCGGGCCGTGGAAGTGATCTCTCACAGCCTGCGCGGCTTGTTCCGCGCGTTCGGGGATGTGCCTCGGCAGATGGACTGGAAGCAGCCGCGATGCAACGTCAAGGCGGAGTGGGGGCTGGCTAACGAGTGCGACGCGGTGGTCGCGGAGAAGGGCGACCGGGCCATCGCGCGCGCAGACGAGGAGGCGCGCGAGCGCCGTGGGCGCTCGCGAGGCTTTTGCCCGACAGTGTCAGGGATGGCACCGAGCGTGCGCGGCCCGCCTCTCCAGCGGCGCGAGGGGCGCCGATTGGCGCGGACGTCCTCCGCCCGGGCTTCGCGCTCCTCCGACGCGCGGCGCTTGCGAGCGCAGCTGTGGCCATCCGGGGTACTTTGTCGGGCTTCAGCGGCGCCCGGCACTTCCATCTTAAGGTCTGCCGAAGTCTTCGGCTATAGTTAGTCCTTGGGGGCGCGAGCTTCGGGGCGCCCCGAGAATCGACGCGGCGGTCGTCTGGCGCGGAGCTTCGGCTTAGGGGCCCTCTGCGCAGGGGGCACCGGGCGCGCCCGCGTAATTAGGCGAGGGCCTCGAGTGGAGCGCTCCGAGCAAGAGGTCGGGCTCGCGACGCTGCGCGCCAGTTAGTCCGCGAATGCTCTTCGACGCTGGGCGGGGCGGGGGGCGAATCATTCATGGGGGGGTCGAGCAGCGCGGATGGGGGGCCGCGGCCGCTCGGAGGGGGGCGGCCCGAGACCTCCTGGAGTCGCCGAGCAGGGGGGCCCGAACATCGCGGCCCGAACTTTCGACGGGCGGCCAGCTCTGAACGCGCCGGCTTCGCGGGCCATTCGACGGCGCCGAGCGCGGGGGGGGTCGGCGAGGCCGCGGGGCCGCAGCGCGGCGACGTGCGCCCTCTACGGGCAAGCGAGGTGCCCCTGCCGCCCCCCGGGCAGGCTCCGACCCCCATCGAGCTGATGACTCCGTCGAGCCGCGCTTGCTCGCGGGGCCCTCTGAGGGTCGCGGCGCCGGGCGGCCGCGAGGTAGACTGGGCGGCGCGCGACGCCGTCAAGCCTCGCGGCGACCCTGGTCTAAAGCCGGGGCGGGTTGAGACCGAGCTGCAGGAGCGCCTCGCGAACCTGGGCGCGCCCGGGGCCGCAGGGGGGCGGTCGAGGAGGCGGAGTTTTCGCGGTGCTGAAGAGGCCGGCTGCGGTGACGGGCGGCGCAGTCCTGGGCTGATCGGACAGGTCCAGCATGACGTTCGGCGTCGCCGCGTCGCTGGGCGCGTGCTCGGCCGCGACTCTGCGCAGAGTGGGCCTCGGCTCGAGCGCGCGCGGCAACTTCGAGGTGGCGAACTTTGCGGGGGGCGCGCCTGGCTTCGGCTACCAGCCGCTCTTGCCGGAAGCGCCGCGGCCCCGCGTCGGCCTCGACGCGGCGGGCGCGGAGGAGATGGCGGGGCGCCTGCGGGGGGGGGGGGGGTCGACGGGAGCTCGTCGCGAGCCAGGTCAGGGATAGGCGCGCGCGAATGATAGCGTTGCCCGCAGGGTTAGCCCAGGCCGCCCCTTGCGCGCGCTCGTTTGCGCGGGGCGCCGTGGAGGGCGCCGGCGGGCTCCAGGGGGCCGGCTCCGTTTGGCGCGGGTCAGCTCCGCTTCGCCGCATGGGGCCTTCATCGATCATGAATGACTGCGCGAGGAGCTGCAGGCGAAGGCGGATGGGCCCTCGAGTTGGCGGGGAGGGCCCAGTGCGACCCTCTGGGGCCGCCGATAACGCGGGCTCCAGAGTGGCGCGGACGACGGAGGAAGAGGCGCGCTCGGCGGTGCAGGCTACGTAAGCGTTGTTTAATCGGGTGAAAGCAGTCCTGGCCGTCGCGGAGTCGCTGACGGTGTTCCCGGCTTGGACGCGTGCGCGCGGGGAGGCGTGGGCGCGCCTGGTCGCTTGCATCCCCGGTATCATGGGGCATTGAGGAGAGGCGGGCCCCCCCCTCTGGAGCGAGGTGCTCGACGAGTCCTTTGTCGCGGTCACTGTGCCTGTATGTCACGGCGCGCGCGGGGGCTCGGAAGGCGCGAGTGCGCGCGGGCATCCGTGACGGACGCGAGCTACCTGTGGCTTCGGCGTCGTTGCGAGTCGAGCGGGGCGTCGCAGAGATGACGGCGCTGTGCGCAGGAGGGGGCGACGTGCAGCGATGGTCAACGAATTCCCACGAGCCCGACTCAGCGGCGGGGGAAGAGGTGACGAAGGCGGACCCCTTCGTGCACCAGTGCCTCGCGAGGGGGAAGTAGACGCAGCAGGTTCGCATCGAGGCGTAGGAGGTGCGCGAGCTCTCCTGGTGATCGGGGCGCCACTCGGGGACGATCGGACGGGGGTCGACCGGCTCGTTCGCCAGACGCCGCCGCGCGCGACCATGTCGAGAGCGCGGGCGCCTCCCTTGCGCGCTCGAAAGGGGGCGCGGGGAGTCTGGGAACTCAGCGAGAGGAGCTGGTCGACGAGGGCTCTCCCCTCATGGCGATGGCGCCGGAGGTTCTCGGGGAGTGCCCCCAGCGAGGGGCGTGCTTGACTTTGGAGAACCTTGCGAGCTCGCTCTGCTAGCTGCCCCCGCCTCTGGTGGATGCCGCGCAGCGCGAGGACTTCTACGTCGCGTGCGTTGACTTCTGCGCGCGCGACTGGGTGGAGGAGACCGACGCGGACGCTGACGAACGTGGTGGACTTTCAGCCGTTGGGCCGAAGATGCACGGGGCCTTCCAGTTGGCCCGCGCGAGCTGGGCGCCCTCATGGGCCCGCGGGGGGAGGCGTGCCCAAGGAAACCCGCGGTGCGAGGACAGGGTGGCGCGGCGCTGGGCGCAGGGGCTTGCCCTCGCCCAAACGAGCTTTGCGAGGGGCGCGCGAAGCCCGCGGCGCCATTGGCGCCGCTTCATGCCGGGCCTGGCGCCGCGCTCAGGTCTGAGAGGCCTTTCGCGCTTGGCCCGCATTGGCTTTCGGTGGCGGCGGGCGCGCCCGACCCGGCGGCGAGCGCGGGTCGCCAGCGCCTGAAGGCCGCGAGCACTTGGTGCCGCGATCAACGCCAGAGCGTGCCCGGGTGCAGGACGGCGGTCGCAGCGCTGCGTCGACGTGCTCGGCGCCGGGGAATCCGGCGCCAGAAGGTCGCGGTCATCGCCGACAGCCTCGCTGCTATTTGGGGCGCCCGACCAAGGGGCGATCGTCGTCGCGGCCGCCCCCGAAGCAGGCGCCCGCCAGTCGCGCCGCCCGTCTGGTCTCGGTCACCTGGCCGAGGTTTCGCTCGCTGAGCACCGAGCGCAGGGCGGCGCAGAGAGACGGTCGAGGGGCGCGCCGCTGGGGCCAGCCTATGGGCGATCAAGAAAGGGAGGGCCAGTGTGAGAGGCTTGCCCAGAGTTGCGAGGACTCGGCTGTAGGTGCGCCCGGGGCGCTGAGGGCGCGGCCCTCGGCGCCGACGGCGCAGCCGCGGCTGGCCGCGCAGGTGGACGCTGGCCACGCGGGCGGACGGGATGATCTGTCTTCACGTCGGGCTGGGCGCCTGCAGGGCGCGGGCGACGAGGTCAGGGGGTTCGTGGAGCATCCCAACTCGTCGAGCACGCGCGTCCCCTTGCGCGAGGGAGGTGCACGAGCCTGGGGCGCCGAGGAGGACCGCCCGTTCGGCGACCCGACGAGGCCTGTCGACAAGCTGTTGGCGCACAACGTTACGGGCCGCACGAGCAGTAAACAAGCCAAGAGCTGCTGAAGGACGCGCTCATAACATGGCGCGCCCTCCGAGCCCCGCGCAGAGAGGGCCGAGCTCGCGCGGCCTATATATCGCATCTGCGTTGCTCTAAGCGGCTCTCTCACATTCGCGACGGGCATCTCGTGCCGGGCTTCGTGCGCGGATGTTCAGAGCACAAGAACGAGCTACAAGCGTCGTCTTGAGCAGTGTCCGCGTGCCAGACCTTCAAGATGACCCGGGAAAAGGGGTAAGCTTCAGACGGGGAGCAGAGGCTTCTGATCGCGGACGCGGCCATGCGAGGCAAGGTGTTGGTTGCATGCGATGTGTTTTGCTACGCGTGATACATTCTGTCGCGACCAAGACTGGACATCGATCAAAGTGGATAAACTCGCTTTCTGTGGAGATGACCTGGCCGTTGCGTTCGGGGATCGCCGCCGGATGGGCGAAGTGAATGCAGGATCGAACCGCATCCTCTGTGCGGGATAGCCCGCGACGGTGGCCCTACTCAGAGGGCCCGTGGCAGGTTGCGACGACGACGGCGACGAGGAAGTCTTCCCGATCAGCATCTCCGACTACAGGAGGCAGTGGGCCGCCAGGATGCTGAGGTTCGGTCTGAGCCACGTTGGCGCGCCTCACAACGCGAGGCGCGCTGCGGCGGGCGAGTTCGCGGCCGGGGGTGGTGTGCTGGAGAGCTGCCACCGCCGAGGACGCCATTACTCTCGTCTGTTCAAACTTCTACGGCACAGGCAAAAAATGTGGAGGGTCGCGCCAGTCTTTCTTCGCAGCAGGTAGGGCAAGGAAGAAGTTTCTGGACGGCGCCCCGCGTCTCTTACAGTTTCTCAATGGTCCCGCATGCCCTTGCCTTGTCGTTACGGCCGCATTTCGTCTTTTCCTGGACAGGGTTGCCCCTGGCGACCATCGCAGTGACTGTGCGCCTGTCCCTCGGGAGCGGGTAAAGAACTGGTGAAAGGTTCAGCGCGCGATTTTGCTCCGGTTCGGAAGAGGAAGCTTCGATCATGTTTAACTTTCGCGTTCCTTCGCATTTTCCGGCCCGCCACCAGAACCCGACCCCAGAAAGAATGGGCGAGCGAAAGGCAGGGTGGTATGATAAGTCGACAGCAGGACCCTACAGATTTTGTGTGCTCGCTGGTCCTAGGCTGTGCCTGCCTGTGTCTGAAACATGAAAAGCCGCAGAGCCTGGACGTAAAACAAACACGTCACATCATCGGGGACTCGTGAGGAGGGGTTTTAGTTCCGGCCTGGAGTTCCAATGCCAATGTGGGGACTTAGCACCTGTTTGTGAACTGCTTTTGTGTATCCGTCGTGTCTGGTTCTCTTGGCCGTCTGTTCCATAGGCTGTTTTGCTCAAGCCCACCCTCCCCGAATATCATTCAACTTTTTGTATGCATGCGCCTGCTGCGGATCGGTCGGCAGCAGGGCCATGCTGGCTTGCGTGTGCGCTAGTCCTTGGTTGCGCATGCCCGGTTCGCAAAGATGAGGATCCTCAGGGCCTGCACGTAAAAGAGGCACGGCACAGCGTCGGGCCCTCGCGAGGTGGAGCGGCTTGGGTTCTGGCTAGGAGTTTCCGACCCAAGTTGAGGAGACATGCTCGACATATTCAGATGTCCATACAGAGGTGTGTGGCGACGGGCGGCAATGCAACATAGCGCAACGCAATGCAATCGACAGCATTGCAAGGCAATGCGAATCAATGTAAAGCCGCGCAGAGCAACGCAATTAACGCAATGCAAATCAATAAGATGCCATGCGAAGCATCGCGAAACAATACAAAGTGACGCAACGCAATACAAGGTAACGCAGACCCAAGCGGCAACGGGGCGGCGACGGCGACCACATTGCCGCCAGACCGACGGTCAGGCCAAGAACGACGGGTCGGCGACGGCGACCGCAAAGCCGCCAGACCGACGGGCAGGCCCAGAAAGTCGGGGGGCGACGAGGCGGCGCGGGGCGGCGACGACGACCACATAGCCGCCGTACCCACGGGCAGGCCCAGTTCCTAAAAAAAGAATTCAGAACCCCTGTGTGCCATGGTGTATGACTTGTACTGTTTAATAAGTAGTGCAAAATGTCGTGCAAGCAAGCTGTGAGGTGCAATTTCCGCGGTGTTGCTATGTCTGCGCATATCTATGTCTATACATATATATATATATATATGTGTGTAAGTACCTATATATAGATAGATCCGTGTGCCTGTATACTTGTATGTACATATATACAAGTGCGCAACGCATTGCAAGGCACATCAAGGTAAAGCAACACAATGCAAAGCGATGCGATGCAATGCAAAACAAACACACTGCAAAGCAACTCAACGTACTTCGAAGCAAGGCGACGCAACTTCAGAGCAATGCAAAGCAACGCGAATCACTGCCATGCAACGCATCGCACAGCAACGCAATTCCAGGCACATCAAAACAAGACAACGCAGTACACAACTATGTCAGGTAATACACTGCATCGCAAACAATTTAAAGCAACGCAATGCAAAAGCAATGCGAAGCAAATGCAGGCCCGAGCAAGCAAGCAATGAACGACGAGGCGGCGATGGTTCCAACATAGCCGCCAGACCGACCGTCAGACACCCAGGCGACGGGCCGCGACGAGACGCCGACGGGGCGGCGACGGCGACAACATAGCCACTAGACTGACCGTCAGGCCCAGTTCCTTGGATACCAAATGAGGCCCCCTAAGCGCAATCACTCGTTGGGGAACAGTGCACGTTTTCGACTGCAGCCCACATTGCATTGCGCTGCTTGCACCACATATCCGGCGCAACACTGTACCGCGTGAGTTGCGCCACATAAATTGAGCCTCGTATGTTGCTCTACTCAGAGAGCGCACATCGAAAGTGCAAGAGATTCCTGACGGCAGACACACTTGTTGTTCGCCGGCCAGACCGTGGCCTGGCTGGGCAGAGGGGGGGATGGGCGTGGCCGCGAGGGTCTGGCCAGCCGCGGAAAGAACGGCCCGCGGACGCACCTCGGGAACGACTGAATCCGTCACCATATCCTTGAAGAGGAAGAGGAAGTGCTGGTTTTAGTACAAGTGGTCGGATGAGGGGGGTGAGGAGGGAGGGAGGGACGAAGGAAGGGAAGGAGGAGGCATGGTAGTGATGATGATAGTGATAATGACGATGCTGACGATGATGACGGTGCCGATCATGATCATGTTCTTCATCATGATCATGATCATGATGTTGACCATGGCGATGCCGATGATGACGACGATGATTTTGATGATGATGCTGATGATGATGATGATGATGATGATGATGATGATGATGCTGTCGATGACGATGACGATGATGGTTACGATGACGATGACTGAGATGCCGAGATGGATTGACTGGTGAGGAGGAAGAGACAGAGGCACAATAACACGGAATTGGGCAGTCTTACCCCCCATGTGTTCCCACCTGGCCGCCGAGGCCGACGGGAAGTCTGTGATGGGGGCCGCCGGGAAGCCCCAGAAGAAGGGCATCATGAGCGAGTACCAGTCCACGATGCCGAAGTTCAACTTGGGCTCCGGCTCTAACTCGGCCGCACTGCAGAGGGCGAAGGACACGCTTCGCGGGAACGACGGAGGCTGGTGACGCCGGTGGTGGTCATGTGCTACCACGGGGCTGATGGCGAGAGGGGTGATGGTGGGCGTGACGACGGACCCAGAAGACAACAGGGTTGAAGAAGCGCGGGAGGAGGGTGAGCCAGCATGGCACGTTTGAAGAGCATAGCGTGAGAGGGGGCAGCGTGGAGGGGAGGCGGGCAAAAGAAGAGGATGCGGGTGAGCGGGAGAGCAGATGAGAGCGGGTGTGGAGACCGGGGAGCAGGTGTGGGGGGGGGGTGGCCCACCCGCCTCGTGCCTCACTCGAGGCGGGCCACCGGTGGAGGACAAGCCGTGGCGGCGTCGCTGGGGCTGGGCGCGTTGGCGCAGAGAAGGTCACACGCAGGGGCGCGGGGATACGGCAGGCTCGCGTCGTGTCGTCGCGGCGGCGACTCCTGTGCGCGCTTAAGGCTGACGGACACGAGTGGCCAGTATCGAACGTGCTCAGTTGCCAGACAGCCACGGTCCTTCATATGCTGAGAACAGAGGCAGTCCACTACCGCGTGGTCAGACGGGTCCAGAGGCGGATGGCGCCTCCGACAGTGCCTGAAAGCATGGGGTTTGGCCAATGTGTCCTGGCGACGCGCGGCAGTCTTGGAAGAGCCGCGGCAAAGCTCGAACACGGCAGAGGTAAGGGAAAAGGAGCCACAGGAGGGATGCGACGACGACGAAACAGAGGAGTGAGCGATGCACACGGTGGGTGTCCGACGCCAGAGCGCCAGTCGTCACTGCACGAGCCTACCACAGTCGCGCTTCGCGCTCTGGCGGTCTGGGCCAGAGAGATATTCTCCTGCATTTTGGGTGCGTCGCGAATGTGTGCGAAGCTCCGCGCGAACATTCGCACGTTGATGCGCGTGCACTGTGTCCTTCTTCGGAAGATGGACGAGGGCTTGAGGGCGGAAGAAGTGCGATGAAAGGAGGATCCGCCACAGGACCTTGCGAAAATGGGCGTCCTCGGCCGGATGGTGGTGGAGACGGGCGAGCTATACATGCAGCGCCCGCAGAAGGACTACGCGCTCTTCTTGGCGGGCAAGTCCCTGAAGTATTGCAACCTCCACACCGTCGGCTCCCAGACAGGCGATGACAACATGGACATGGGCATCAACACCGACGAAATATTGTGTGACGAGCAGGACGCTTCCAGCCTCGGCCAGCGTGCGATGTGTCGTCAGATGTTCACCGTCTCTTCTTGCCCATGGGGTTACTTCGACATCGCGTCTCTTGCCGCCTGCTCCTCCTGCGCCTTCTGCTCTTCCCACTTATCCAAGCCAGGCATGTTTCCTGTGAGCCCCCAGGCGGCTTGAATGGATTGAGTGCTCTGCTATGCTTGCTCCTAGTTCATGGAGGAAAGGGAACGGATGGCACAGCAGGGGGAGGAGAGGGAAGGGGCAGAGGAGGAATGTGAGGAGTTGGTTTTCTGGTGTATTGGTGGACTGGTGCATGAAGGTGGAGGTACGTTTGGACCCCTCCCTGCAGCCGTCTTCGTTGGCCGAGGGGCTGCAGGGAGGTCCTCGGCCCCCTCCATTGGCTATTGACGCCGTAAAGTGTTGGTGCATTGGTGTACTGGTGGGAGAGGGCGACCCCAGCGGCCCCTATGATGGCAGCCGCAGGGTGTGTGAGGCCTATGATGGTCCTCACAGGTGAGGCCTATGATGGTCCTCACCGGGGTGGGGGTGGGGGGAGAGGGCAGGAAGTCGAAGCGGATGTCCGGGAGCAGCGTCCTGGGGGGATACCTGAAAAGGGGACTTAAAAACAACGCTTGTCACCCGCCTATGTTCCACAATACACGGGCTGGCCTGGATAGCATATGGGGGGTCACCGAAGCTGTCCCCCCTGAATGCCGCACCTCTTGGTATGCAAACGGCCCCCGGCGAGAACCGTGACAAGAGGCCGAGTGAGCGCTTCGCTCTTCATTCTTTCCCTGGCCACCCAGTCCTCGTCAGAGAGGAGGTGGCGTGCAGGGAAGGGGAGGATGGGGGGGGGGAGAGCGGGAGAGGCAAGCTAGGTGCGCTCGCGCCACATGCGACGTCCTACGCATCCCGCCCTCCCTTCCCATTTCGCTGATTTGTCTGTAGCCGCCGACGGGTGCTATTGCGGACCTAGAACCCCCAAAATGACCCCTATCGTGCCATTCGCACTCTGAAAGCGGAGCTGGGTACACTGGGGGAGGAAGAGGTGGTGGATGAGCAGGATGATGAGGAGGACGAGGAGGAGGAGGAGGAGGAGCAGCAGGAGGAGCAGGAGGAGCATGATGATGAGGAGGAGGAGGAGGAAGGATGAGGAGGAGCAGCAGCAGCAGGAGAAGAAGGAGCGGGATGAGCAGGAGGGCCAGGATACGGCGGACGAGAGTAGAACAGGGTGGCGACAACGACGAGGAAGGTTTCGTATCAAGAAATGTAAGTTGCGCGTGGGCGAGTTCGCCATTCTGAACGATCAGATCGCCGAGCTTGAACTGAGGCCAGCGCTGCAGCGGGAGCGTCACTCTGATGAAATCGCACAACAGGCGCCCTGTTCGAAAAGCAGTACAGCCGTTTTTCGATTCATTGTGCGGGAATCGCGAGTGTCGCATATCTCGTTGTCGGGTTCTCCCCCCGCCGTAGCGCCCCATAGCCTGTGCAGGGCGGTGCCGAGGCGCCTTCAAGACTTGAAGGACAAAGGCGGCGACCGCCTTCGCTACTAGGCTGACGCAGCGCCCTCATGAGAACTGACGTTAGTCCGCCACCCCGCGGGGGGGTCCGACTTTGGGAGAAGGGCAGGACTGTAATACTGGGGTGTCGCAGCAGGCCATGTCCGCCGGCCCTCCCCCCGGGCTACCCTGCAAGATGCGCGTTGAGGCCCCAGGCCCCCAGGCGCACCCTTAATAATGTTTAATAAACAAAGTCGGCAGGGCCTCAACATGGTACCATCATCCACGCTTGCTATGCGGATTGCAGCCCGGGGGGATGTTGAGGCCCTGATCTGAGGGCCTCAACGTGGCCTCGACATGGCACCATAATGGAAGCCTGCTATGCGGATTGCCCGTGGGGGGGGGGGAATGTTGAGGCCCTGACCTGAGGGCCTCAGCATGGCCTCAACATGGCCTCAACATGGCACCATAATCCACGCCTGCTATGGGGATTGCGATTCTGAGGCCCTGACCTAATGGCCTCAGCATGGCCTCAACATGGCCTCAACATGACGGCAGAATCCGTGCCTGCTTTGCGGATTGCGATGTTGAGGCCCTGACCTGAGGGCCTCAACATGGCTTCAACAAGGCCTCAACATGACGCCAGAACCCACGCCTGCTATGCGGATTGCGATGTTGAGGCCCTGACCCGAGGGCCTCAACCTGGCCTCGACATGGCCTCAACATGGCCTCAACGTGGCCTCAACATGGGCACCAGGACCTGCGCCTGCTTTTCGGATGTCACGTCCGGCGAATGTCGAGGCCCTGACCTGAGGGCCTCAAGTCGTCTTCGCCCGCTCATCCGAGGCCCACTCCAGCGTAACAGCCCCCCAATGGGGCTTGACCCCCGTTTAATCTCTCCGACGAACAAATCCCAGCAGTTGCCTCCTAATGGATGAAACACCAGTCCCAGGGAATGGGTCCAGACCGCTAGGAGTCCGCGTCATGAAGCAATCACGGCGTCGGGAGACTGTCAGGTGGGAAAGAATCGCACAGACACAATTAATCGTCGATCCCCCAGAAAATATGGGAAATTTGGGGAGTGGGGGGGAAGACAAAAACCCCAAACATATGGGAAAATGTGGGGAATCCTTTTATTTGTGTGTATTTATTTGTGTTTCTCAGGGCCCCTTCAGTCCAGACCGCTGGGAGTCCGCGTCATGAAGCAAGCACGGCGTCGGGAGTCTGGGAACGGGGGATGCTTCGACCCACGGCCAGAGTTGTCCGGGGCGCGCCAGTGTCGCGATTTTCGCCAAACAGGTCCCCGTCAACGGGGTCCTGGTGCTCACTCTGACGTTGGCTTTCCATGCGGGGTCTCTTTTTGCTGTTGTTGGAGACGTCGGTGTCCTGATGGTCAGTAGCCGAGGTATTATCATCATATTCCCCATCGCCCTGGTCCAGCTATGCCATAGACTCTTACATACAGCCACCCTCCGTGCCAGCGACCACGACCGACTCTTACATATGGCCGCCCTCCGTGCTGAACCTCCGTCGTCAATGGAAGCGACACTGCGACGTGATTGCTTCAAATGTTTGATTCTTCGAGTGGCCATTCGGGAACTGGGGACGGGCCAGGCAGGGCGGGCTTGGGTTGGGAGCCATGAGCCCCGCGGCATTTCACTTCGGCTCTGGGCTTCACCGTGTGCCCTCTCCGACTGCAAGGCACCCAGTGGTTTGGAACACACCGTGTGCGCACTATGACGTCGGTGCCGCCGCGTGTGGGGTGGGGGGAGGCGCGTGTTCATGGCGCCGCGAGGAGCACAACTAGGAAACAAGCAGGGGGCTGACACAAACAAGCCGTGGCACAGCACAGTGGCGAACGCACGCGCGCACGCGCGGACCTGCTGCAGGCCGCGGCCTGCTGCCGTTGACAAGCGGATCGGACTATCAAGACAATTCCCTGGCTTCCGACACAGTCTGCGTTCAGAACCTCTTACTCCTATTGCTGCTCCTGGGTGCACCCCAGCCCCGCCACCTATACCTCCTCCTGGCTGTACCTCAGCTCCTCCGCCTCCTCCCCTCCCCCTCCTTTCCTGTTTTTTCCAATGTTAAGCAAACTTAGATTGACTAGGATCGTAGCGTCAGTCCCGTTCTCCCCATCTCCCTCCGCCTCCCCTTCCTCCTCCCCCTGCCCTCCCCCCTCCCCCCCCTTCCTCCTTCCCCTGCTCAGCCGCAGCGGTTTTGGTCGCAGGCCACGGGACTCAAGCCAGGACGCGTTCTTGCCCGCCCCGCATCTTGCCGCGCGGTCTGCTTTGCGAGAGACATGGTGCGTGTGAAGGCCCGGCGGGCGGCTTCAACGCCTGAGATGATCGGCCCGACGGGAGAGGGGAGGGAACAGGATGCGAAGGACGCCGGGAGGAGGAGAAGGAGGGTGGGGCAGGGGGCATTACGGTGAGGAGCTTTTGCTTTGCGTGTTGCTCCACCGGTCCGTCCCCCCCACCCTCTTTGATCGCCGGCCAACTCGGTAGCTAGTGCCCCTATCTACCTTCTCGCTGGAGCGGATTTCGCCGCCTCGCCGCTGACGAAACAATTGACGGAAGAAATGTTGCTCCGCCGCTTCTGGTCCAGCGCGCCTCGGCGCGACACGCCAGTCACGTCTCCGTCCGCAGCCGTCGACGCCTCCCCAGCCGCTCCCAGCACCCCCGCACCCGCAGAGCGCGGAGCGACACGTGTAGGGCGGAACTCGCGTGTCGGCGGGGCCGCCCGCGCACGACGCGCTCAGCAAGGCAAGAGCTCGTGAACATGAGAAGAAAGGGGGGGAGCAGGAAGAGGAGCAAGGGAGGACAACGACCCCCACACCTGCGGTCCTGCGCGCCTGCCAGTGCCCTGCTCGATGCCTCCCTCGCACGCCTTCACGGACTGGCTCCGCCTGCAGTGCCTCTTCTCGTGAGGGCAGTTTGTCTCCTGCCTCCCGTCGACGAGGAAACATCGTCCACTCTGGGCAGGCAGCCTGGGTTTTCCACTTTTGTATTAAGCGCCTGGGTGGGCCGACCCCCTCCCTTCTCGTTGCTCTCGTCCTCGGTCCCGAGCCGAACGGGGATCTTCCTGGGAGCCGACGCTAGTGACGATGATTGTGATGCTGTTGCTGGTGAGGATCTCAATATTTAGACGCGTGTTTTGGGGGACCTTCCTGGGGCCCACCTAACAGATCTGTTCGACTCTACATCGATCCCAGCTCGACTCAAGTTCGACTCATGTTCGACTCAAGTTCGACTCAGGTTCGACTCAGGGTCGACTCACATCGACGGACGCTCGACGCAGCTTCGACGCAAAAGTGGAGCGAGTGTCTTCAGGAAGGTTCCCAGAGTGAGCATCCAACAAGATAGCGCACGGTGTCTCAGGATGGCTCCCCAGGATGCTCAAAGAGGCCCCAAGAACGCTCGAAGACGGCTCCAAGAAGCCTCTGAGACTTCCAAAGAGGCCCCCAATAAGCGGTTGTGGTGGTGTTGGGGATTATGAGCACGCGGCCGATGATGAGTTTGCTGGTGTTGACAGTGATGATGCTGATGCTACTGATGATGGCGATGACGATAGTGATGGTGATGATGATGATGCTGATGGTGATGCTGATAATGCTGATGATGATGGTGGTGGTAATGATTTATGACGATCATGGTGACGATGCTGATGATGCTGATGATGCAGCTGCTGATGATGACGATAATGGTGATGTGGTGGTGGTGGTGGTGGTGGTGGTGGCGGTGGCGGCGGTGGTGGTGTTGATGGTGACGATGATAAGGATGGCGAGGGTGATGATAACGACGACAAGTGATGGTGATTGTGATGTGGCGGAGGAGGAGGAGGAGGAGAAAGAAGAGGAGGAGGAGGAGCCAACGGTGTTGGTGGGGGTGATCAGGATCTCTAGGAGGTGAAGGGGGACGGACATATTCACCAGGAGATTCATGGGGACGGGGACGAGGAGGGGAAATGCTGATGGGGAGGCGATAACGCATAGGCGGAGTGAAGGAGGAGGAGGAGGAGCAGCAGCAGCAGCAGCAACAGGAGGAGTTGACGGAGAGGAGACACGGGACCTCCAGACATTTGGCGGATCGTTTATTTTTTTGTATGCATCCATAGTCGTATCGACCCATTATCCTGGGTCCGATGTTCATCCTACTAAAAAAATGTTGAATTGTCGTGAGGTTTCTAAACGTGGACTTCCATGATTCGAGCACGTTGCCGTATAGCTCATCACCCTTCTTCTCTTCCTCCTCCTCCTCCTCCTCTCCTCCCGTCCATCCTTATCCTTCTTCCTTCTCCTCATTATTCTCTCTCGTTTTCATCCTAATCCTCCTCCTTGTCCTCCTCGGCATCTTCCTCCTCCTTCTCCCTTTTCCTCGTCCTCCTCCTCCCTTCTTCTCCTCCTCCTCCTCCTCCCCTCTCCTCCTCCCCCCTCCTCCTCGTCCTAGCGAGGCGTACGAGCTCCGCTCCAAGACGTCCAAGGAGCTGCTGAAGGAGCTGGACGAGATGAAGAGCGAGCTGGCGCAGCTGCGTGTTGCCAAGGCCCGTCTGGGGGAGGGGGGGGAGGAAGGGGCGCTCAGAGCTCGGCGTCACGTAAGAAAGGGGTCGAGGGTCGAACTTCGGTGTTATGGTGTTTGTGGGCGCTTTGGGTCCTAGCTGTGCCTCCTGGAGCGTTCTCGTCGCCAAGGCTGGGGTCCCGTCCAAATTGTGGCCGGAGCGCAGCGCAGCCCAGGATGGGTCTGGGAGCCGCTTTTAAGTTGACAGCCGAGTCGTGGAATTCCACACGTAGAGCAACGGGGCTATGAGGGGAACGGGCCCAGTATGTTTTTCACCGCTCTCGGGCTCCTCGGGACCTTCCGCGGGCCCATTGTACCGGCTCGGGATCAGCGGCTGGACTTGGAGAAAGGCCCAGGGGTCCTGGGGCACTTCCCGTAGACATCGCCTGCTTTACCAAAAGAGGAGGGAAAGAGGAGGAGGAGGAGAAGGAAGAGGCGGAGGATCAGAGGAGAGGAGGAGGACCAGTGCAAACCCAAGATGCATCAACGATGTTGCAATCAAATAACCCTCCCGTCAAGCTACCCCTCCATAGGCCCCAACAATAGGTAGACATAGGTTGTGATTCATTGTGGGACGTGGCCCGATAGAAGACATTCGATTGATAATCTTCTGCCGTGATAGAAACAGGTCTTGCGACTTCAACGTCGCGGATCAGCGCAGTTCTTGTCCTAGAAATTTGAAGTCGTGCTAGTACACCGTTCCTGGAACTTCAACACCGCGAATCCGTATGACTGCTGCGTTCGCACACTCCTAAACCGAGCCAGAAACGTATCGTCGAAGCTCTTGCAAACTTTTAAGACGAATGTGCACGGCGCTCAGGTGAGAGCCACATTTTAGAAACGGCCCGCCCTCCATCTGTGAAGCAGCTGCGAACTTTTAAGACGATTGTGCGCGGCGCTACGACGATAGCCACATTTTGGAAACTGCCCGCCTTTTTATCGGTGAAATATTGCAAGTGTTTAAGGCGAGTGTGCGCCGTGCCAAGGCGCTAACCACATTTGGAAAACGTTCCGCCCTCCACCAGTGAAGCTGTTGCAAACGTTTAGGACAAATGTGCGCGGCGCCAAGGCGAGAGCCACATTTTCAAAACGGCCCGCCCTCCACCATTGAAGCTGTACCAAAGTTCAAGCTTCAGGAGCATACGTGACGAGGAAGTCTCAGGCGAAACGCCCAGCCCGCCCAGTCGATGGGTCTGGGGGCACGACGGAGAAATGATTCATAAGAAAAGGGATGCACGATGAGGAGGAGAGCCAGGAGAGCCTCCTGCGGCGAATGTCTGAGCTCGCCCGCGTCCACGCGGGCTGGCAGCGCTCAGCAGCACGACTGGCTCGATGATGAGCACGCCTGGGCCGAGCCGCGGGCATGCGGCGAGCAGCGTCGGGAGCCCTCCTCGGTAGCAGCGGCGGCGGCAAGCTTCGGCGGGCGCCCCGTTGCCCGCTGGGCCGCCTTGGGCCATAGCCCACGCCGCGCGCGGTCCCGGTATTCCAGGCCCGCCTTGGTTGGGTCATCGGGCGGGCACGGGCTGCTTTTGAGCCCCTCGCCCAGCTGCCGCGCCTGGCACCCCGAAGAGGCCGCAGCGCTCGCAGAGCCAGCAGCCCAGCTGATGGTGCAGGCGGAGGCGAATGCGACGCGTCAACACGCTGGCCTCCGATCTGCAGCTGCGCGCCCGCGGGCCCGCCCAGCTCGCCCACGAGCTCGCACAACGGGCGGAGCCCAGTGCACGGCGTCTGCCGCCCGGCCGTCATGGCCGCATGCGAGTTGCAGCAGCGGCACACGCGGCAGCTCCGCCCGTCCTCGGCGAGCTGGTGACTTGGTATCGCTGGACGTGTGCACTTTTTCTCGGCGGGGATTACTAAGGAGCATCCTGGATCATCCTGCGAACAAGAAATAAAACACGCACGAAACCAAACAAAAACACAGGGAATGGTCGTCCGAGCGACGGGGAGGTGAGCGAGGCGAACGTCGCGCAGAGAGAGCCTCGGCGCCGGGGCCGCCTGCCTCGCCTGGGGGGCTGCCCGCCGCGGCTGGCGGCGCTCTGCGGCGGCAGCGTCCAGCGCGGCACGGAGGAGCCAGGGCTGGACCTAAACGGTGTTTTTGGGGATTTCGTGGGCCGTCTTCGTTTCGACGTTTCGACTTCGTTTTGCGGTAACGGAGGATTCGAGACGAAAAAGCGAGGGATAACGACAACGAAACGAAAACGAAACACACCGTTTAGGTTCAGCCCTGGGAGGAGCCACCAGCGCACCTGAGCCGCTATCACCTCCACGGCCGTCACACGGGCGCGGTCCTCAGCGGGGACGCGCGCCTCCTGCGCGGCGCTGCCTGCCAGAAGGTCGGCCACCGCGTTGCCCCGCGGCATGAAGTCAGGGAGTCGTCTCGCCAGCGCCTCCTCGACGGCGAGGTGCGACTTGACGCTCTTCACGGAGACCTCGGCGCGAGGCAGGCCTCGCAGCGCCATCCCGACGCGATGCCAGCGGTCCGCGTCGGGCCTTGTTGGCTTCTGGTCCGGCCGCTGGTGGGAGGTCTTCGGTGTAGCCCGCAGCTCGGCCCGGTGCATTGTGTGCCGCTCGCCAGCCAGATGCCCCAGCAGCGCCGCGCGTAGCTGGACGGCGTCGTCGCCCAGGCGGCAGACTGCCAAGCCCACGCGCCTCAGCGCGGGCGACTTGGATTCGGGGCCGCCCCTCGCGTCGCCGAAGAGCACTCGGGGCTCGGCACCAGGAGGAGAGTTAGGAGTGGGAAGGGATGAGGAGGAGCAGGATGATGATGATGCTGATGATGATTCTGATGATGATGAGGAGGAGGAGGAGGAGTAGGAGGAGGACGACAACCATCATCAGTAGTTGGGGGGAGGAGGGGGGGAAGAGGAGGAGCAGGAGGAGGATACGGAGGAGAGGAACGCAGCAGCCGTGTAGCTGAAGTTCGTCGAACGCACAGAGGCGGAGGAAAAGGTGGAGGATACTAAGGAGTTGGGACGGAGGAGGAGGAGGATTGAACGTAATACTGATAAAGTTTTCAAGGGTCACTGTATCATAATTACTAATCAGAGTGAGGGGGCCGAACGGTCATTCATTGTCCCTGGCTGCGTGGCTGAATAGGGGATTTGTGATGAGATGTCTGCTTGTTGTGTTGTTGCTGTTGTAATTGTTGTTATTGTTGGTGTTGCTGTTGTTGTTGGTGGTGGTGGTGTTGTTGCTGTTGTTGTTGTTGAACTCTCATATCAGAAGAATGATTATTGTTGGCCCCCCCGCACCGGTGCATATGGTTTTTTCTCCATCAAAGTGTCCCTCGACGCGCGCACCCTGTTTTTTACAGGGAAAGTCTTGGTGCTCAATCTATGCCCCTGGCCCCCCGGGTTACAACAACAACGGCTCCCGCTTCAGAGTTCCTCCAAATTTACTCAGGACTCCCGCTCTTGAGATTTTCTTATAGTTTACTCAGGATCGGTGCTCCCGCCTGTGACTTCCTCGCAATTTAGTCAGGACCCCCGCTCCCGTCTGAGACTTCCTCACAAGTTACTCAGGAAGGGCGCTCCCGCTGGAGACTTCCTCGCAATTGAATCAAGATTTCCTCGCAATTCAATCAAGACCCCCGCTCCCGCCAGAGCACCCTTCACATTTTTTTTTCAGGAATTGCGCTCTCGCCTGTGACTTCCATGCAATGTATTCAGAAGCCGCGCTTTCGACGCTCAGGAAACACGCTGCGCCAAGGACGCCGTTACAATATACTTGGTATTCGCGTTCTCGCCATACTCAGGCATCCTGCTTGAATGTCCCACCCGCCCGACCCGCCCGTCAGGGGATCGCCCGCCCGTCGTGGGCTCCCGCCCGAGACTTCCTTCAGGAACGGCGCTTTCGCCTAGGACTTCTTCGAACGTTCACGCTCTTACCTTCCTGCTCCTCCTCCCTCTCCCTCCTCCCCCCTTCTCCTCTCCTCTCTTCTCTCTCCCTCCTCTCTTCCCTCATCCTTATGCCTCTCTGCCCTATCCCCTCTCCCTCATCTCCCTCCTCTCCCTCCTCCCTTCTCCCTCCCCTCTCCTGCCTCATCCCTCCCTCTTTCTTTCTTTCTTTCTCTCTCTCTCTCTCTCTCCCCTCTCTCTCTCTCGCTTTCTCTACCTCTCTTACCTGTCTTTCTCTCTCTCTCTCTCTCTCTCTGCCTCTAATCAACCGCCCCCCTCTTCGGTCCTTCTCTCCTGGCGTTGTCCCTCTTTCTTCGTCCCTCCCTCTCCCCTCCTCCCACTCTCCATTCCCTTCCTCTTTTTGCAGGGCCCACACGAATTCCAATGGCGGGCACATGTACGCCCACGAAGGATTGTTCGCCCGTTCAGGTTTGCCCGCCTGTCTAAGCCCGCCGCCCCCCGCAATGAGAAATAATCCCCCCAAAGGGGGTGTGATCGAAGACAAAAAAGGCGGGTATCGAGGGCGTGGGTGAATGACACGCGGGCAAGTCAGAGCGAACAGTCTTATAATGCTTGTTGTTGTTGTTGTTGCTGCTGCTGTTGTTGCTGTTGTTGGTTGTGTTAGTGTTGCTGCTGCTGCTGTTGTTGTTGTTGTTGATGTTGCTGGTGTTGGTGTTTTTATATTTGCTGTTGCTATTGTTGTTGTTGCTATCGTTGTTGAACATTATTACTTCTAAAGAATAATTATTGTTGGGACCCCTGGTACACGACCCCCCTCCAAAACCTAGGCCGCAGCCTCATTTCCTTCATTTTCTAGCGAAAGCTTCAGAAAAGTGAATTATTACCGGATCCGGTTGTTTTGTTGTAATCCGTTTTCCCTTGCAAAAAACACTATAAAATGAAAATTCTTGTTCTTACTTGATCAAATTGCAAGAATCCCTTGCAAAAAATAAGGTAAAGTGGACATTCGTGCGCGCAAGACGAAATCCTTCCAAAACCTTAGGTTTCGTAACGATTTTAACATAAAAACATCAAAAACCCAATGGTTTTTTAAGAAAAAAAAAAATTCGTAGGCTCTTTTTAAACAATT